TTACGGGGCTTTTTAGGTATTAAGCCGAAACATAGAACCAAAACCGAAAAACACAAATATGGGACATTTTTGTCAAATAAAAATTTTAAAAACATTTTTAACTATTTTAGTTTTTGATTCACCCTAACATTTAGCTGTAGATTCTAAGGTTACAAAGTTGTACATTTGTCTAAAGTAGTGTATGGGTGTGTGTCTGTACGTATTGGTGGTAGTACTCTTCTATGGTATATGGCTTTCCGATTTCATCTTCCATGCATTCCTGCTGGCTGATGACTCCACTATGGTATATGGTCTAATATACGATTGTTGGTTGTATCTATCTGTCTATATGCATGTATGTGGTGTGTGTGTGTGAGGTATGGCCTAACTGACTGGCTGTTCGCTTTGTTAGTTATTTGGTTGGCACGACGATTTGATGATGGTTTTTTGTTTTGATTGTTGGCTTCAAACTTGTTAGGTGGGTTTCGCTCGCTCCCAGCTGCCAGCATTCTAGCCCGTATGTACTTTATCAGCGTCCCACCAGCTTCGATACCTAATGCAAGAGCCACAGCACAGCACATCAGTTTGGCTCAAAGTGAACTTCTTTCTACTTACGCGCATATAATATGAGTGCATACATATGTATTTACACATAAACAAACGCATGTATATGTATATGTGGGTACTTCTGTATGTCCATGCGGTTGCGCTGTTTTTGTGCGGTGCAGTGTATCCGTCGGATAAGTTTGGTTATTCTTGTACTCAATTATACGGGAATTACGCGTCTATCTGCGCTTCACGAGTGGCTAACCAAGCACACACACATATATATAATACATAAGCGCCTTAGACATATGGGCAGTGAGCGGCAACACTCACACATACATACCTACTTACATACATAGAAGTATCAGTCATATAGGTAAGTATCTTCCTCGAAATGAATTGAGGAGTGTAATATGCGCGCACACACACAAACACACACTACTTGTAGGCTATGCCATGAAGTGCTCGCCACTTGGCTAAGGCTTGGCCAACAGTTGACTGTAATGGATTAATTGTTGCAATGTGACAGTTATTACTTCTTCTTCTTCTTCTACTTTTGCATTTGATCGTTTACTTTTATTTTCATTACTTTTACACACATTTATCTCGCCTGTTCTGTTTTGTTTTGTTTTACTTTACCATTATTATTTTATTTGCTTTTGTTGCGTTACTCGTACGTCCGTCCAACTTTTTGCTGTGGGCTTGGTAAGTGTAGTCACTTCGAGGTGGGTTAATTAGCGCGTCTAAGCACCTAATAGGCATACTTTTCGCAACTTTTATTTCATTACGAGTATTAGTTCAGTACATATGTGTGTGTGTAGTTCAACACCTAACCAGTTGGGATTGTTTATTTGGGGCGAAATTTATGATTATTTAATTGTGGGTTTACTGCTGAAGTTTAGTGCTTACATTATCTTTATATATTAAAGAGAAATTAACTATTCAAGAGGAAGGGATCGTTAGATTGCCGTCCGAGATATTCAAACATGGCGGCCAAGAACTGATAAGAAGCATGTATCAATCTGTATTCTTTGTAGAATATGGTCGGATGAATTTAAGTGTGCTCTATTCAATTCCAAAAAAAAAATCAGATACCACAATCTGCGCCATCTAACGTGGGATAAGCCTCCTCAAAGATTAAAGTCGTCAACAAACTGATTGGACCTTGTCAATAAAGAAGAATGGTGGGTGTACCACTAAGTTCTTGTGGTTTGTGAATATATGGCGTTAGTAGTTAATGGCGATTGATTTTGATATATCCAAATCGGTCCTTCTTCTTCTTCTTTATTGGCGTTGACACCGCTTGCGCGACTATAGCCAAGGTTCTCCCATCCGAGGTTATTATCCTCCTTTCATTAGGGGGTGTTTTGGCGCACCACCTTGCGTTCCACTTAGTGACTTTGTTTATATGCTCATTCCTTTTTGTATTTTGTAATTGTTTTCTTTCAGTTGAAAAAGTGAGCGTCGTAACACATTGGGAACTCCAAAAAGTTTATGTCGATTTCGACTATCCGCGTGAAGAAATTCCAAAAACCTTCGAAGACGGTGAATTTGAAATGTGCTTCGATGTGGATTCGTATTAAACCCAAGAAGGGCTTTGGGAGTCACACGCCAAGCCATTTAAAAGCAGCTACATGCGCTGAGAATGTTTAAGAAACAAGGAACTTGGGTTTCTTATGACTACAATACCAGGAGAGGCACAAAAAAGTGATTGTGCTGCGTGAAAATGCTCGTTCTCACGTTGCCAGATCCGCTAAAGCCTAGCTGGAAACGCTTAAATGGGAGGTTCTACCCAATATACCTCAGATATTGTACCGTCAGATTATTATTTGTTCGGTTCTATAGCATAGGGTCTGGCTCAGATTGGTCTTTAGCAACATACCAGACTATCTTCAAGCTTTAAAAGAAAATATTAAACGTGCTATTCATGACATACAACTTGATTTAATGGAAAAAGTACTCGAAAGTTGCGTTGATCGAATTTTTTTCTGCAAAAGAAGTTGTGGGGGCCATTTGAGTGATGTTAAATTCAGAACTTAATTGTACTGCACATTAAATAAAAAGCATTAAATTTCCTTAACAACTAGTGTTTTTTAAGGAGTCTTACCACTGTTATTGTAAAATCCTGTATATGCCTGTATATACAATGCCTATAAATATTTAAGAAAATACTATCAAGATTTTAAAAGCTTTTAGAGTAAGACAATGATCAGCACTGGCACATCGGATGACAATAAATAAGGATGAAATATTCACCATGTTACTCTTAGCAAAGCCTGGTTTAGTTAAAGATCTGTTCAAAATATTAGTTGGGAACTCAGTCTGGGAATTTGAAAAAGCCGATGGCATAACGAACATTTGGGGTCCCAACATTATTTAGTTGATAGAATTGTAAAAGAAAAAAGTGCCCAAAGGTTTTCTAACATATTTAAATGTGGACGTTGAAAGTGTATGGCAAATAAATTGCTGTATGATAAATTATTCCACATTAAGCCTGTCTCCAGAAGAAAATGCTTTAATATTAAGAAAATATTATTTTATTTTCTCATAAAAGGCCTCAGTAACTTTGATACCGTTAAATATCTGTTAGTTAAACCTTTAGCCATTATATATGATGATAATATCCAAGATTCATCGCCAGCAAAAAAACAATAAAACGTTTCATGACATTATGGTAGTTAACGCGACCCTGTTTCTTTTTTTTTTTTTTGAAAATATTGAGGGATTTTGGAACCAGTCCTGCTTTTGATTTTCTTAGGCTCAAATGGTCTTTCAAAATGGTTTTTACTGATCCTTACGATATTCCAAAGATGCCAGGAAGATCTTTAACCGTGAATTCCGATTCTCAAGCAGCAATTTCTTTATTTTATTGAGTGTCCCGATCTCTCTGGCGACGGCTCGAGAAATTTCAGTAGTCCTTTCGAAACAAGTGATTTTTTTGCGTCTTAATTTAAAGCTACTAAGCAAAGCCAAGTTCAATAGTCGAAAAAAAACTTATGGTGATTGGGTTTTGCACATACTTATTATAAAACGGAAAAATCTTGGTAAAATAAGACTTTAAAGGCAAGCTGTAAGACATTATGTGGGAGAAAACTGCATTAGAATACGTACTAATAGTTTTGGGTTCTTCTAACGGTCTTAAAGGCAGCTCTTTCAAAAACTACTACTAGTAAATAGAATAAAAAATAAAAATAATTGGCGAAAATAAATATTATAAACCTAAATTAATATCATTTATATGTATATCCCTCCGCAGTAGGAGTCAATTATATAATACATAAGTTTAAGTCAATTATATAATATATAAGTTTATTGTTGTTGTTTTTTTTTTGTCTAGTGTTATACCTGATTTCGCTAGAAATAACAAATTAAAGTAATTTTTAAATTTTGTCTTTAATTTCAGCTGCGCTTTTATGTGTATTATTGCTCGAAGAAGAGAGTGTGTATCAAGCCAACATTGACCAGAAATAGATACATACATACATACACGAATATATTTGTACATACGCATTTGTATGGATATTCGACGATATTTCTTCTGTGATATTTAATCAAAAAATTTCTGTTTCCTACAACAATTGAAATTTAGAAAATACTCAAGCAAGTACAACAACAACAACGCTTTTAAAAATACCACACACGCGTGCACACTCAGTGAATACGCCAGTGTTAGTTTGTTGTTGCTGTTATAAAATAATTTCGTAAGTGTGATTCTGTGTGTGTTTTTTGCATTTTTGACATGTGCTTGGCGTGTTCGAAACGGTGATGTTGCCAAATAAACTGGTTGTAATCTACTGCCAACAAACGACGCAAGAACAACGTCCCAACCATAACAGTATCAACACCAGCAGCAACATCATCAACAGCAACTGCAAAAGCAACAGCAACAACAAAAACAGCATTAACAACAATTGCATTAGCAACAGGAACAGTCACGACAACAACAACAGCAACAATAATAATAACTGCGGCATTGGCAATTGCCAACACCACAACGTGAACGACGGCAACAGCGACGCTGCCGTCGACAACGACGACGACCACGACGAGGACGAGGACGAGGACTACGTCAATGACGGCCACGCCTCAATCAAGTATGAAAATTGTGTTGGTCAAGTGTGTCGTGTTAGTGGTGTCATTTTGAGTGTGCTAACGACGTTAGCAAGTCTGCAGCAACAAGCGAGCACGCATCCCGTTTGCGTTCCAGACCAACAGCAACAACAGCAACAACCGCAACGAGTTGCACAACAAGAGCAACAACAGCAGCAGAAGTCACTGCTGCAACAAAGCCAAGAAAAGCAAGAACATAAACAAATACATGAACATAAATATATACAACAACAACAGCAACAACAACAACGTGTTTGTAGTAGAACACTTAGCAAACCAACAAGAACCATAACAACGCACGCAAGTCGTACGTATTCATTGCCAGCAAACTTCCGTCATTTGCCATTCAAAGAGCGGCCAGTGAGGGCTATTGAACTGTATGCGAAGCAGTGGCAAAGGCAGAAGTATTGGAAACGGAAATTTGCAAACATAATTCGAAAATATGAATTTAATTATTGTCGCCATTGTGCTACTAATGGCCCACAAGGAATACATGGCAAGCCCAACACCATTAAAATTACCAGGTGAGTGATCGCATCGAGCAAATACAAAGCGTCCATACAAGCATAACCCCAAACATTTATATGGTATATATGTACATACATATGTATGTAAGCACATTATCCCATACATTCACCACAAACCATACAAATCTGCCACAACTATTAAGTCTTATACACATAAATGTATCTAATACATATTAACACACATACACAAATATACATACCTATATGTGATATATGCGTAATGTACGTTAGGTCTGGTTGAGATTACGTAGCTTATAATGAAAAATTCATGCGCAACTCTGACATCTATCTGTACATTAATGTATTTTTGATGCGGTGGACGCCCTGTGCAATATACCCACACACATACATACATATGTACATATGCGCCCTGCCGCAATGGCAAGGCAGCGTCATAAACGTCCACAATGAATTATTCACATATTTGGCGAGGAGGGGCGTGTATGGGCGGGAGTTTTAAAGTAGCACAATTCAATGCTGCTTTGTAAACAATATTAGTCGAAGTTGTTGCTGGGGACCCTGCAAAAGGACGTTAAGTCGAGTATTATGGCAAAGTAAAATATTACAGCTTCGTTTGCTTGCCTGCGACTTTTCCATACGCAGCTAAGTCAATATTAAGTAGATTTTCCGTTTGATGGAATTGAAATTTGCTGTTGCAGAAAACATATTGTATTTTACGTATAATATATACGTAGTCGTCTGCTAATGCCAACCGGAGGGCGACTTTAACAATGGTTTGCTTTTCCGTTCGCTGTCGGAAAACTCTCAAGTCAATGTTCGAATAATTGAATTACATTTCTTTCAATAGATTTTACCTGTCTAGAATCTTTTGGTTTTAACCCTTGTTAATTTTTAAAGCGGAGAAAAAGTTTTCAATTGTTTTCAAACTTCTTTGTTTGCACGCAGACTTTCTGGAGTTGAGCTTCCTTAATATTGTTTTCGTACGCTACACTTTTTTCAATTACAAGCTTCCGTGTTTTTTTTTTTTTTTTGCATTATTCTTACTAGTCTTACTAGTTTTCATTGATTACAATATTTTACTATCCAAACTCTTACTTACTTACTAGTTTTCATTGATTACAATATTTTACTATCCAAACTCTTTTTAACCTTTCAAAATAAGATTTTATTTTATAAAAGACTAATCTAAAACAACGAAGAAGAAAAAATACCCTATAAAATACATATACATATAGTCTACCTGGAAATTCTAAATAAAATGCAAAATTTTTAATTATTCATCAAAATTGATTTTGTTGCCTTCAAAGTAATCCACACCCGATCTAATACACTTATGCCAACGACTTTTCCAAAAATTACTTTCGGAAAACTTTCAATAAGCACCTGAAATGGGCTTTAGCTCCTTCTGCGAATTTTGTTTTATCTCTGCGATTGCCTAAAAACGGGTTTCACGGAGCGTCATTTTCGTTTTGGGGAACACGGCGACAGACATCGGTTCATTATACAATCCCGGCCATTTCTGACGAATGCTCTTATGCAAACGCCTCAAAACAGCCAAATAGTAAACTCCTATTTGGGCGCCTGTCCTTCCAGAACAAATTCATTACGCAGCAAACCTCAAACAATGATAGTAACCTACATTTTTCAGCGACTTTGACATGGTTTTTTTGGTTTCGGCTCATTTTTCCCCTCCATTCCGATGATTGTTAACTTGTTTGTATGTCAAACTTATAAACTGATGTCGACGGCCGTCCATCGTCCTCTTAACGATCTCTCGACAGTCTTTGAAAGCTTTGTACTACTCGTGCTATTGTGTTTTTGATAAAACTGAATAACAACAAGCCTTTTCCAACATTCGCAACGATTCCGCATCCGAAATTTGTTTAGAAATACAAAATTTGAGACAAATTCTTTCAACTTCAAATTGATTTACTACGAAAGTTGTCCTTGCTCCTGCTTAACAGAGAAAAATGCACTTCGATTAGTCTAGAGCAGAGATAGAACTGTTAAGTGGAACTTATAAGATTACAGAATACTTATCTTTCTCACTTAATTTTTAAGTATCAAACCTATATTTCAATTCTTGCCGATAAAGATACATATCTACAGCATAGTAAAATTTTAAATGAATATTGTTTGTCATTATTGGATGAAATAAATTCTATTTAGGTATCTTTAAACGTCTGAATTTTGTCAATTTTTTCCAAAAATATATAAATAGCAGATAATTGGCTAAATCGAATAATCCGTATATGGTTTATAACCATATTATATTATATAATATAAACTAAATTTGAAATATTCAAATCAATCAATATCAAAAGTTAAAAAAGTTGAATAAAGCTGTAAAAAGAATAGCTATATCTAAAATATTCAAATATTTTAAAAACCATGATCGCAATTAACCTGTCGAAAAAGTAAGGTTATGCTGCTGCCATAATTTATGATTATACAAGTAATATTCTATCATAGCATTTTTGGGTGGTAATATTTAAAATTCTCTGTTATTACCATTTTTTATTGAATTTTTTTATACTCAAACAAAAAAATAAAAAATAGTGGATAACCTACCCATTTTGCAAGGGGCGTTTTTTGGTATATTTAATAAATAAGCCAAAAAAATATATGGAAAAATGAGTGATTTAATCTCGACAATGAAAAACATAATAATAAAATATTTTGTTATTTTTGCTCACTATTGTATAAAATTAGCAAATCTGTGACCTCACAATTGTTGGAAATATTTTATTTAGTGTAAAAAATAAACTCTAATTTCCATAACTTTATTCTATTGAAAAAGTGCAGTAATTTTAGCATTCTTTTGCATTATTGTGCAATTTTAACATGTATCAATATATGCATGCATTTCTCTGGTATTATATTAAAGTAGCATAAATCGAATTAAGTTGAATGTTGCATTTTAGTTTCTAACAATTGATTATAGGTATACATATACTTTATCTCTATGATAAATTTATTTGAAGCTTCGGATTATGTTCGTTTATTTAAGTGCTTATACCCACTTTCGAATTAAAAATAGGGAATTTTCTCATAAACTATATATATGTACATTTGTATATCGAGTGCACATAATATTTATTTGAAAATATTCTCCGTAAATTTGCAGCTGACATATTCGACAAATAGTTTCGTAATAATAATGGAATTGTAAGAATTAGTGTGACTTTAAACAAGTTTTTCTCGTAATGCTGTTTTCAGAGTTATTATATTTTTTTTTTTTGCAGCGATTGGACCGATCTACTTGAATTTTCTAACAACCTTCTTAGATATTTCAAGTAAATCGAAGGAATACTTTATTACACTCTTGCAAGCAGTTGCTCCAGTGTATAATAGTTTTTTTCACCTAAGGGTTGTACGTATCATCTAAAACTAATCGAGATAGATATAGAGTTATATATTCATATATAAATGAACAGAAAAGTTGAAATCTGGTTGACTGTTTATCTATTCGTGCAAGCTGTAACTTGAGTAAAATTGAGATATTTCGGTGAAACTTGCTACGTGGGTTTCTTAGTACAAAAAAAAGTTCGAGCTCGTAGATGGGCGTAATCGGACCACTGCCACGCCCACAAATCGTCATTAACCGAAAACTTATAAAGTGCCATAACTAAGCATTATATTATGATATAAAATTGTGTTATGGCACATGGGTATTTCTCTCCTATTTCTATGTAACATTGAGAAAGTGGGTGAAATTGGACTGCAACCACGCCTACTTTCCATATAGCATTCCAATTCTATTTGATTCTTTCACTTTCCAGTACACAAATCAAGAAGTATTTAATAATAACGAGATAAAATTGTACCGTAATAATTTTTTAAAGTATGCCACCTTATGACCAAAATTTTTACAAATCCAACAAAAAGTGTTCAAGCCCTATGAAATGTGGACCAGGGTACCTATAGTTGACTTTTGTTCGAAAATGAGATATGTAATTGAAATTTAGACAGAAATGCTTCTTGACAATAGTATCTCTGTGTGTCAATACATCCCTGAACTTTATGCTGCATATATCGACCAATATTTGAAAATTGTTAAAAAACAATATTACATATATGTAATAGTATATTTTTGTGTTCAAAATAGATAAAACCGGGCGAAAACTTGACCTAGCTCCCATATAACTGTTACCAGGATTTTCGAACATACGGCTGATATTGTATAGTATCATGATTTTGGTTTTTCTAAAAAATCTAATATAAAATTCTTTGGATTTCGATCCTCTGGTTGATGTATTACAACTTAAGTTACTTCCCTGGCTTTAACTCTGGCAAGTTGCAAGAGTATCAAATTTCGGTTATACCCGAACTTAGGTCTTCCTTACTTGTTTTCATTTTATTTATTTTATCTTAACATAATCTAAAACTTCAGGTGTAAAGGCATTGCTGAGAAAAACATAAATTTGATTCCATGATGTAGTTTCGATTTAAGCTATTTTTACATGTAACACATTTTGTAGTTTTATAACTATTTTTTACCAAATTCATGGATATTTTGCAAACAAAGGCGCTCGAAAACGTTGCCATTACACGAGTACTGTTAAAATTATTTTATTTTAAGAAATTTATAAATATTTAAGTATAAATCACCAGGAGCAAAATATTGAATTTATAAATCATTTTAAAGCAACACAAAGAATTCATGATAAATAAATTAAATTGAAGCATGCTATATATGGACACGATGTATATTTCCCAAAAATGCAGATAAGAAAATTGTTCATCAAAACTTTCAACTTTTCTGCTTTAAAGAGTATATATTGCATTTAGTGCAGCATTCAGGGAATAACTGTGTATATATATATCTGCAAACAGATGTATATAAGTGCATATATATATATATATATATACAATATATACATATAAATGCTCTTGCGCAATAATTGAAATAAGTTATTTACCGTTGAGATGCAAATGCAAAAGTGAAAATGTAATTGAAATGCGGAATGCAAGAAATCAATGAAAAACTGAGGAAGCAATGGTGTTGTAAATGAGAGAGAATAAACTTAATTGAA